TATTCCTCCTGTGGATCTCGGATCAAAGCCTCAGCTCTCTTTGTGTTCGGATACACTCTGGGGGTGCTGGATCAATCAAATGTGTCTGGGAGGTATTGAGTTAGCCTGGCGCTGCAGGTGTCCTGACCTCTCCCTTATCTCCACCGCAGGCTTTTCATCTGGGCTGCAGCCCAACATAATTCTATTAACAGTGGCTCGGTAGATTACCAATTTCACCAGATTAGCCAGGGCTAAAACCTCACTTTAAAGGATCAGTGGTGAAGAGATAAGGATGTGGATGGAGAGGTGGAGAAATGGCACCAGAGCAGAGTGAGGACATGCCACGAAATGCCCACCTGTGGAGACAAATGTAGGGTGTAATGCATTTTCTGCTTTCCTCACACACACACTGACAAGAAAGCATTTGTGTTGTGTAAGCTGCTTTGTAACGCCAAAGCCCCTTATCTCTGTGCTTATGCAATTAGGCTGGTGAAACAAAGCCCATAGTAATTAATCATAATATCCCTGACGATACAGTATGTCACTGTGTCACCTCTGCTCCTGCTGCTTCACACAGCTCTCCCTGAGAGGACTTAAACCATCTGGAGACACTTACTTAGAGTTTCTCAGTCAGATGCCTGTGCCTGAGTCATACCAAAGATTTATTATAATGGCATTAGTACCCCTTAATGAAGTACTCCTCCAGGTCTCTGTATGTGTTTCTTCTTCTTTTTGTCTCTCATCATAGAGTATGTCAGGAGTGTGAAGTATCTTAAATTTAAGTTGATTCAGCGCACTGTGAGCAGGTGTAAATGTAAGACATCTTTACAGCTTTCCTCCTGATTGGTCGGGTGCACGTAAAATCCCAAGAGCTCCCAGAGTGCCTCTGTGTTTTAGCCACTGCAGCATATTGGCTCCTGCTGTCTTAAGACAGCTTTTAGATTAATGTTTGTATCAGTGTGTGTGTGTGTTTGCATGCGCATGAAAGTAGACGCCAGGGATTATAGTCACAGAGAAACACTGTCTCTGTCTTGTGTAAGTCTGGGTAAGCCTGCCTGACACACACACACACACACACACACACACACGGGCGCGCGCACTGAGTCCAATGGTAGATTTATCCCTTCCACTATACGCAGCTTAAGGGCCCTTCTTCACCTCTGAACTGAGATCAGTGTCAAGTCAGTCTGCTCAGCTCCACGCCGCAGCACCAGCAGACACTCAAGCTGGTCTGAGATCAGCCCTAAACAGAGGCGGTGATGGACGAGTGGGTGTGTGGCTGCTGAGGCTGTGAGTAGTGCTGACGGATGGAGGGAGAGAAAGAAGTACGGACGTCATTACGCCCGTGATTCACATATTGTAAGTAGGCTGTGGGGAGGAATAGAGAAACCCGACGGTTGCACTCAGAATTAATCCTGCTGAGTAAAACTGTGTCACAGAAGTGAAGCGCAGAAAATAAAAATACACACAGCAGATTTCATGTGTTTTGCATGTAAGCAAATGTTTTTTTGTTGTTTTTTTTAATTCTGTTGACAGCAGCGTGGGCAGGATGTGGGCTGGGAGGATTGAAAGTTTGACTGTGGGGCGATTTGGAGGTGGATGTGAAGTGGGAATGAATGCTTTGAGGTCAATACCAAAACAATTGCTAATTTACTCAGCAGTGACAGACAAAAAAAGCTTTTTAAACACTGTTGGGAATGAAGAGTAAAGAGGTCCTGACATGGCATGTAATGGTGCTGGCTACACTAGAGGTTCGATAGCATGAAATCCCTAAGAAATCCAAACTAAAATTGGAAAATTCAATTTAAATCTGTTTTTTTTCTGCACTTTTTGTTTATACCTTATTTTTTACATACTTTAATCCAGAAAATGGAAGTCCTGATTCAAAATTATGCTGATGAGCTTCAAATATTGATATGTATGATATGTTTAGCATGTTTCCCATCTAGCATGCTAACATTTGCTTTTTAGCTCTAAACACAAAGCACAGCTAAGACTGATGGGAAAGTTTTGCAGGTATTTGGTCAAGTATTGGTCAAAGTTTTACCTGATGATGATGCTTAAGGTTGGTTAAGATGGTAATTAACCCCTTAATTTCTAAGAAAAATAAAACATGATATGTAAAACAATGTAAATACAAGAGGCTTTTCTTTTTATTCTGCCACTCTGTTGACTGAGTGAGCTTAAGCACCACATTTCAACATGCTATCCATTCCCCGCGGAGATGAGAGTTAAATGTTTTATGATAGCAATGCCTTTTATTTTATTTTATTTTCTGTTGGCTTTGCTGACAGCTAATTGTGTGAACATGCGGAAACATCTCACCCTGCCCACCCTCCAGTCTCCACTGGTAAGCAAAAGTTACCCTTGGCCGTTCACCCACATCAGGCAAGAGCTATCTAGCAGTCCCGCTTAAGGTAAATGTGGTAGGGGTTACTATGCAGATGACACACTGGTCTACATCTCCCCTAAACCCTCCACTGCCTTTCCTCCCATCTCCCTCACCACCTGCCTTGAGGACATCAGTAGTTGGATGAGCAGGAACTTTTAGAAGCTCCACGGCAGCAAAGCTGAGGCCCTGCTCATTGGTTCCAAAAACACCTGGTCCAGCCAAGACAAGAACCTTGGTGTCATTCTGGTCATTCGAACCCAACATAAAAAACATTAACCAGACTGCTTTCTTCCACCTCCCCAACACCTTTCAGACTCCACCCATCACTGTCCAGCACTGAGGTCTCGGTCCATGCATTTGTTAGATGCTCTATTGACTACCAAACTCCTTAACAGGCCCCACATCATTCAAATCTCTGCTGCCCAGATCCTCACCTGCACCAAATCATCCGACCACATCACTCCCATTCTCATCTAACTACACTGGCTCCCTCTTTAGTACCGGATTGACTACAAAATCCTTCTGCTCACCTTCAAAGCCCTCCGAAACCTAGCCCCCACTTATCTCTCTGACCTTCTCCAGGAAAACAACGCTCCATGCGCTCTTCCTCTGCTGGCCTTCTGACCATTCTCACCTTAGCACCAGTACTAGGGCTTTCAGCTGCACTGCTCCCAGGCTCTGGAACTCCCTACCCCCAACACATTTGACAGTCTGACAGCATAACACCTTTCAAATCCTATCTCAAAACCCACCTATTCAAAATGGCTTATGTACTTTACACTGACTGCGTTACTAGGGGTAATCACCGAATGAGCTGCACCGCTAGCTAACTAGCTCCCACCAGACTTGGATGGTGCACAGTACAATAACTGAAGAATAGCAAAATTAACCTAGGCCTATAGACCTGCATGCGCAACTGCTGAAAAATACTCTCGGTGGTTAACCAACATGAACAACATGGTGGTTAACATGAAAGCCAAAAATGTTAACCTGCTGAAAACGCTAGAGGAAAAATCAGGGAATCACTATTTTCATGGCAGTTCCTGTAATATCTCATTGTGGACCAAATTGGTGGAGTGATCAACACTAAGGGACCACACCTGCCATCACAAAGCATGTCAGCTTATTTGTGTGCATTATGTGTAGATATAGATGTGGTTTCAACTTGTCAAACATTTGACCTGAAGAAGATCTAAGTAGGAGGATCTAGTGTATCTTGATTAAACTTCTGTGGCATGGAGTAAGTGTGCGCTACTTTTTCTCTTCATGAACTGACCAACTTTACCATCCCTGGAGCCAAGCTGCCAGCATGGCTGTGAAGTCCCTACTGACTGGGTCCTAGAAATTCCTGCCATCTGCATTTAGGTCTGTGTATAGCCTTTTTTATGGGAGTACCATACATTATAGAAATGACAAATGGCACAGATGAAAACTTCAGAGCTGGGATAAATCACTCTGGGCCACTATTTTGCTGAGCTTTTTATCCCCCTCTTCTCTCTGCCTCGTTTCTTCTTTATTACCGCTGCCACTTGCTCAGCATTACACCAGTGGCGGGGGAATATCCCCTCTGACATACATATACAGGGAGAAATGCTGTACTGACTATAAAGGTTGGATTATGACTATAATGATGGACAATCATTATGTTGAAAATACTGATGATGACACCAGTGCTTGTATTAATGATGATTTATCCAAATGAAATGTATCCAGTTATCTGTGCGCCATGATACAGTCCAGCCATTTGCATGGGCAGTTGAACTCCCTGCTGTTTCTTGGACTTCGCAGGAAACGAATTTATCTCGTTCAACCGATGGCCGTCAGATTGTCTGGCAACTGTGATGTAACTGGCAGACTTACAGACAAAAAAAACACGCAAATACAATGGTGGGAGAGCACAAAAGTGCACATGAACAAGCAGGCAGCTTGACAATAAGCAAAGCAGACAGATTGTGTGAGAATGAAAAAAAGACAGAAAGAGTGAGGAATTTCAAACAATGGCAGGGAAAAAATACATTTGGGTACACAGAGTGAGAGTCAGAGAGGGAATCAGCTTGTCACAGATGTCCGCGCTTTTCCCTCCAGATCCGTACAAGCGTCCAAATGTAAATGCCACTGCCGACGTGAGAGCAGCGTCAGGTGTCATGTCAGCCATGTCACGCTGAGTGACACTTTTGGTCGAGGCAGATCCCAGTTCGGTTGGAGACAATGATGCAATCAGCATCAACCCAACAGACTGTAAAGAGCCGACGGCTGCAGAATGCACAAAATCATATAGTGACATTTTTATTGTGTGTGGGTGTGAGTGAGGGAGCACACATGCATGTGAGTCTGTTTGTCTGCATTTGTTTTTGTGTGTCTGTACAAGCGAGGCTCGTCAGACTCGCTTTGAGGTTGATTGATGATAATTTACATGCACATTTCTTCGCTTACTGCCTTTCTATTTCTCCCTCTATCTCTCAACCATTTGTCAGATAACTCCAGACAGAATAAGGATTTCATTCTTTGTGTCTTGTGTGTTTAAATTTTATTCCCCTCAGAGGCAGATTTGGTGGTTGAATGCCCTTTATGTGTGCAGCATTGTGTCATAAATTGTTATTGTTAAACTGTTTTCTCTCTTTTCTCCCAGTGTGCTGTTTTGTGGTCCACAAACGCTGCCATGAGTTCGTCACCTTCTCCTGTCCTGGAGCCGACAAGGGTCCTGACACAGACGTAAGTTCAGCTTTTTCTCTGAATACTAGAGTTGTTCTGATATCGATAGCAGTAAGTATCAGAGATGCCCCCAATACTGCCTAAAATTCTGGAACAGGTATTGATGAGTGCGCAAGTCTATGCACCTATCCACACATAATTTATTAATAAAGCTTAAGGTAGGTTTACACCTGGATAAATTAGCAGACTTCACAGAAATCAATACTTCTTTGCTGCTCTACAGTAGTAGTAGTTTTATATCAAGCCAAACACTGGACCGGATTGGTGTACTGAATTTTACCAGGTGTCCGGCTTGACTCAACAGCTGCTCCTGTGTAAAACAAATGTCACTGTGAACTAACAAAAAAATAGTGTCTGACTATCATGTGGCATTGCGAAACATGGCAGCTCTCTGTCCAGGCTGAATCCATCTGTTACGTCATGTAAACAAACCATGTAGCCAGATCAGACTGGAGATATAACAACTTTAAAGATGAGTGAGTAGCCTACTACTGGGGCAGCGTCTGCAATGATGCGGGAGCTGAGCTGGATGGCAAAGCTTTCAATTTACTGGTCCATCTATGTCCCAACCCTCACCTATGGTCATGAGCTCTGGTTAATGACCGAAAGAATGAGGTTGCGGATACAAGCAACTGAGATTAGTTTCCTCCGTGGGGTGGCTGGGCTCAGCCTTAGAGATAGGGTAAGGAGCTTGTACATCTGGAGGGAGCTCAGAGTAGAGCTGCTGCTCCTTTGCGTGGAAAGGGGTCAGTTGAGGTGGTTCGGGCATCTGATCATGATGCCTCCTGAGCGCCTCCTGTTAGAGGTGTTCCAGGTAGGTCCAACTGGTAGGAGGCCCCGGGGCTGACCCAGAACATGCTGGAGGGATTACATATCTCATCTGGCCTGGGAATGCCTTGGGGTCCCCCAGGAGGAGCCAGAAAGCATTGCTGAGGAGAGGGATGTCTGGGGTGCTTTGATTGGCCTGCTGCCCCCGCGACCCGACTTCGGATAAGCAGTTAAAAATGGATGGATGGATGGATATTAGCAATGGTAATTTATAGGGTCCAGCCCAAGCCTAGTATACAGCTGTAAAAAAAATTGTTTAATGCAGTTGTATCTGCTCGATATGGGCTAAATACCCAGATTTGAGTGCATCTATTTGCACACAAAGACGCATAGTAACAATAAAAATAATTTTGTGATATTTGATATATGATTACAAAAAAGTACATTATGCAGTTTTTAATGTCGATGAAAAATATCTTGACAAAAGCGAAATATGTGTCCAAAAAGTAGGAATATTAGATATTATTCTACTGCATTTATCAGTTGTATTTAGATTTTTCGCAGTTGATAATAAACAAAATAAAAAAAGGTACATACAGGTGGGCATGCGTGCCCTTGTGCTTTATTTCAAAGCAGATCTTATAGACCAAGTACTGTAGTTTTATTGAGTCTGATTCTCCCATCAGTCTTTTTAGATTTGAAGTTGGCACAGACACTGTTAGAACAGATAATCTCATTTGCTTCTTTTCTGTCCCCTGTCTTCATACTTAATGCAAGAAAATCAATTCAGACTGACCACTGGAAAACACTTGAAAGATCAGTGTATCAATAATATATTGCGACTGAGAGTATTGCAATAAATCAAATTGATTTTTTTATGTCAGCCTGTAAAATTCAGCCCTCTTCTCTGCAGTATATTTATCACTTAGTTGGAGCCCTTCTCTGTTGCTGCATCAGCAACTGTTTGCTTCCACACATCAGGTGTGATAACACTGTCCCTCATTAGCCTCCTCACTTTCCCCCAAAGCTCATCTGATGCTGTCGGGTGGTGGTGGTGGTGTTTTATCGGTGTTGGAGTCTGACCTCTGTGGTCCCTCGGGAGGCAGTATATCTGTGTGGAGTGAATGTGTGGCCCTGCTGTAGCTGCTGAGCCTCAGTGTCCTCTTCCCTCCAGCCAGGAATGGGATGTGTCCTTGGTTTGATAAGAGTGGAGGTCAAGCACAGCCGCAGCAGGCGCTGATGTCTGTGTGCTTACATGCAACAGGCAAGTAACACACATGCATGGACAGTTTGTGCGTGGATGACAAGTCCCCTTCTGTGGTGGAATGTAACTAAGTGTATTACACTCGTGTACTGTAGTGTAGTACAATTCTGAGTCACTTGACTTGAGTATAGCTTTAGTTACTTTGCAGATTTAGATTGTTAATACGAAATATAAAGCAACTAGTAAATTATGATGTCCTCCTGAGACCCTGTGTCCTTATATGAGGACATCACATTTGGGGTTTACTTGACCTCACACTACCTTCTACTTAACTTAGACCCGTCATCCTTGTTCGTGGACACTTTTTTGTGCCATCTAGTGGTAGTAAGAGCGCAATACACTAATTATGCAAAAACAAGATGGCAGCCATCTCTGCCAAGTCAGTCTGCAGCCAATCCTGACAAGTGTGGACAAGATCCAAAACCTGATCACATTTTATAGTTGAATCTTGTTTATTGATGATTAATAATGTATGTAGTTTGATACGGCAACAAATTTGACCAATTTTAGCAACAGTAACAAGATAAGACTGTTAATTAGGAAGTATTTGTTTGAGAACAGTGTGACTTTATTGTTGTTTAGTTTGAGGACACCGGGACTTAATTATTGTTGACAGATTTTAGTGTTTTATATTTATCGGGTCCTACTGATCCCAAATAGCTAGGAGAAATAAAAAATGCCTACCAACCAAAAGTTTGGGTCTCAGGAGGATTTATTATTGTAGGTTAATCTACCCAACAGTGTATGAAATAGTTATAGTTAGTCCCACCTTCATCAACTACAATGTTAAAGTAATGAACACATTAATGCATCAATGCTATAATAATAATAACTATAATCCAATAATATAATAAACATTATTCTGGCCATTCTGCACAATGAGTAGTTTTATTTTTCGTATTTTAATACTTAATAGTTTAATATTTTGAGGCTAAAACATTTGTACTTTTAATTAAAGGTATAATATGTAACATTTTCACATTAAAATCTACAAAAAACTGTTGCGTTAGAGCTGTTGTCACCGAACTAGGCCTCGCTGTAACTGCTGGTAAGCAACCTTTGGAATCTGTGTTGTGTGGACAATAATGAGGAGGCTCATTGTACCTTTTACACCGCCATTTATTCTCCATACAGGAACAGAATATGTACTGGTCAGTCATACAGTTGACTCGTTACAGGCAGCTCACACACAGCACGCTACAAAAGAACAGCACTTTTTCTTAGCACAGAGGCCAGCTAGCTATTATATGCTGTATGCTCATGCTCATTTGGACATTGTATCACTTAACGAGTGCAACAGCTCACTTGTAACTCTTTCCAGTGACGTTTCCATAACTCTAAATGTTCATATGGTGGACATACAGACATTAATACACAATATTTGTACACAGTGCTGTGCTTGACAACTCACCTTGGGTATGTCTCTCATGATGTTTTAACGCCTGCAGTGGCATTTACCTACCACCTCTGAGAGAGGGCGCCCTTGAGCCAATAACACAGGTATAACCACATAACTACATAAGTGCATGGCTATCACATTATAGTAATCATAGCAAGTGGAATTACATACAATACAAACTCTGTTACACTGTGTTATATATTTTGTTGAGTTGTGTACTTATATAATCCAAAATGTTTCCAACATTGTTCAAAGACAGAGCAAAAACACGCTACTTCACAATGTCATCAATGTCCATCTTTTGTTAATGTTAAGAGTTTGAATAAAGGATTTTCATTACTTGTAAGAGAGTATTCTTTACACTTGCTACTTCTACCATTAGTGCTAGTTTCTTCACCTCTACTTTACAAATGCGAACACACACAAAAAACAATCAGACGCTGATGTTCTCGCACTTCATTTTCACCAGACTGAAAGACCTACTAATGAATGTTCCCTTTACTAAGCCAATTAAGACGCACACCCACACCAATATCCTCTCATGTTTACACGAGCAAGAACATTAAATGTCTTACACATTTTCATTAATGACGATACTCTGTTTGTTCAGCGCCTCCTCAGCTCGCAGTGGTTCTCCGGTTCTCCTCATTAAATAACATCAGAAGTAGTTTAAGTGTTTTTATGAGAAAAGTAGATGCAGTTTAGTGAAGCTGTAGAGTGCACTTCTTTTAATTTACGCCTTGTGTTTTATCAACTTCTATCAAAACTGCCGCTCTGTATTGGCTTCTCTTCATCTTCTCTCTTCTTTAAGACTCATTAGTCTTGTCTCTCGCCTTCCAAGACCCATTGTTCATTTTCATCTTGTTATTCAATCGTGCATCTCCTCAGCTCCAACTGTCTATCTTCCTGACTAACTGTTTCTCTCTGTCTTCCTCTCTTTTATCTTTCTCTCTCTCTCTCTCACACACACACACACACCTGCATTGAAGTTCCCACTGTGAATTTTGGTCTGTCGGTTTTTTGTGCCCATTATCTACCGACTGGCACAGTGAATAGAGAGCCCTTTAGGGACAGACCTCTTTGAATTCCAAATGATGATACGGGACTCGCTCATACACAAACAAAGCACTTATTTTCCTTTTAATCTTATCAGTTTATGACCCTATTCTCAATTAAAACAGTCTCACACAGCATAGTTGAGCAAAAAGAAAAGTACAGACCAAACAGTCAACTTGCCCTTAATGCCCCCAAAACTATCCAGGTATCCCTAATGGATCATACAGTATGTGCTTGTGCTCAATGCTAACTGAACAGCATTAGGGGTCGCGGGGAGGCTGGAGCCTATCCCAGCAGACATTAGGCAAGAGGCGGAGTACACCCTGGACAGGTTGCCAGACTATCACAGGGCTGACACATCAAGATAGACAAAGATTCACGCTCACATTCACAACTACGGCTAATTTAGAGACACCGGCATGTCTTTGGACTGTGGGAGCAAGCCGGAGTACCGGAAAGAACCCACACTAACATGGGGAGAATATTCAACCTCTACACAAAAGGGCTCCCTCC